AAGTCGAGGACTCGCTTCTGAAGTGCGTTGACGAGGCTCATGGGGGGGTGCAGGGAGAAAAGCCGGTGCCACAGCATGGACGTCACCAGCTGGTTCACCACCAACGTCTTTGTCCTGAAGGTGAGGAACTTGCACAGGCGTCTCTAGGTGCCCAGCCACTCCTTCACCTTCTCCTCCAGCTCGACCCAGTTCCTCTGTGGTGGTTCCTCCTCTGGTCCGAGGAACACCCCCAGGTGGTGCAGCGATGTTGTGCTCCACTTTATGGCTTTTGCCTTCTTGGTACACTCGGTCATGTCCCACGCTCCAACGAACAGGTCGCTGCACTTTTGCCAGTTCATTTTTGATGAGGAGCCTTTCGAAAGACCTCCTGGCACTCATGCAGCAGGGCGACATCATCCAGGGAGCGCAGGATGAGGAAGACGTCGTCGGCATATGCCGTCAGGACCAACTTGACACTTGGTTCTCTGAGCACCAGGCCGCTTAATCTCCGCCTTATGAGACTCAGGAAAGGCTCTAATGCCAGGGCATAAAGTTGGCCCGACAATGGGCATCCCTGTCTCACTCCTCGCTCGAATTTGACCGGGGCAGTGAGGGCGCCGTTGATCTTGATCATGCACTCCACCTTGGTGTAGAGTAAGTGGATCGTTCGGACAAAGGCATCCCCAAAACCAAAGGACTTGAGGGTTCCCAGCAGGTATTTGTGGTCCACTCTGTCAAAAGCCTTTTCCTGGTCAAGGGCCAGAAACGCGATTGGGATGCCTAACCTCTGGGATACCGCGATGAGGTCCCTGACCAGGAAGATTCCGTCGTGGATGGTTCGTCCGGGGATGGTGTAGGACTGGTCCTTGTTTAATACTTGTGCAATCACCTCTTTCACTCGCAGGGAGAGAGCCTTCGTCAATATTTTGTAGTCTGTGTTCAGGAGGGACACCGGACGCCAGTTTTGTAGGTGCCTCAGGTCTCCGTTCTTGGGAAGCAGAGTGAGCACCGCCCTCCTCCAAGACTGAGGCATCACCCCGGTAACAGAGGCTTCCTCCAGCACCTCTCTGTAGTCCTCCCGTAGGGATGGCCAAAAAGCGGCGTAAAACCCCCCTGTTAGCCCGTATAACCCTGGGGATTTACTTGGGGCCAGTCCTCTTACAGCTGCGTCAAGGTCATTCCTGGTGAGCTTTTGCTCTAGCAGCTCTTTCCCATCTTCCCCCAGGGTGGGTAGACCACTCCATGCCTCCGCCTGGGCCGCTTCCAATGTTTCTTCAGGGGAGAACAGGCTGCCGTAGAAGTCTCTGATGATGGTCGACTTCTGCTGGAGTTTGTCTGCCAGGACACCGTCACCGTCAAAGAGGCACTCCATGGATTTGCGTCTCCCGTTCTACCTCCCGAGGGAGTAGAAATGCGGGGATCCCGTGTCGAGGTCGGTGATGAGCTTCACCCGGGATCGCACAAACGCTCCCCTTGTCTGCTCCTCCTGTAGCCCTTTGAGACGCTCCCTATTCTCCTCGAATTCTCGGAGAAGAGCAGGGTCGCTGTCTTCGGCGAGGCGACCCTCCAAATCGAGGACTCGGGCTTCCATGTCGGTGATGTCCGCGTACTTCAGTCTGGTGCTCCCCCAGGTGTATTGTTGGCACTTCCCTCTCCTCCCTCCCTCTTTTATTTTCAAGGTTTAGCAAATTGTTGTTTTTATTTACATAGCATAGCATTTTTTTTATAGCAATATATTTGGGGGGACATTTTGAGCATATTTGTGATGTGTCCCACCCAGTATATATTATAATTACGGCCCTGGTATAGTGGTGTGTAGTGGTTAGCGCACTGCGCTACTAACCAGGCGACCCGAGTTTGATTCCGCACTCGTGACCAACATCGGTCACGAGTGCGGTTACGTGAGTTCGATTCCCGCTCATCCGAACCGGTCCCGGGCCTCCCCTAGGTCGACTCAGCCTCAAATGAGTACCTGACGCGACGTGTGTGCTCTATCTTCCCTCCCTTCCTCACTCCCTCCCTTCTCCCTCCCTCTCCTCCCTCCCTTCTCTCTCCCTCTCCTCCCTCCCTCTCCTCCTCCCTCCCTTCTCTCTCCCACGCCTCGCTCCCTTTCCTCCTCCCTCCCTTCTCCCTCCCTCTCCTCACTCCCTTCCCTCCCTCCCTTCCTCTCCTCCTCCCTCCCTCTCCTCCTCCCTCTCCTCCTCCCTCCCTCGCCTCCCTCCCTCCCTCTCCTCCCTCCCTTCTCCCTCCCTTTCCTCCCTCCCTCGCCTCCAACCCTCTCCTCCCTCACTCTCTTCCTCCCTCCCTCTCCTCCTCCCTCCCTCTCCTCCATCCTTCTCCTCCTCCTCCGTCCCTCCCTCCCTCTCCTCCCACCCTCTCCTCCTCCCTCCCTCCCTTCTCCCTCCCTCCCTCCCTCTCCTCCCTCCCTCTCCTCCTCCCTCTCCTCGCCCTGCGGCCCTCGCCACGGCGCGGGCTCCTTCGCCCCGTGGCGCTGACGCCGCCGGTCTACAAGCCCTGCGGCGCGCGCGCCTCACTCCCCGCTCGCTCCCTTCTCGCGTAAACTGAAGAGCGGCGTTTAGTTCTCTCGATTTTAAACAAACGAGTTAAGTCGCACGCACGCCTAATTAAAATGCACGGTCAAATTAGCGGGGATCGCGCGTGCATGGTAAAAATCAACGTCAAGCCGTGACGCCCTCCCGAAGGAGTTGCCGGCGCACGACGTGAACATCGGAACCGCCGCTGCCTCCACCCGCCCGATGCAGAGGCGCCGCGTGCCGCGCCTGTCCCGCAGGCGCGGCTCGTGGTGATGGTGCTGCGTGCCGTGGCGGTTTCAGTCATTTGCGCACTGCAATCCACGAACGTGGTCGCCCGAGATTAACCCCTGGCCGTGGCAAATATCAGCAGCGGTGAGTGAAATATGAAGCCCGGCTGGGCGGTGACGAGTCCAGCTTGGCATGGTACAAGTGCTCACAACGACGACGATCATGATGTGTGTTCGATAGAGCCGCCCTCAGTTTTCACGCGACTCCCATCGCATCTCGTCAAAGGGCACCCCCGGTGGCAGCGGTCCCTGTGCTCCACAAGGTGACTCAACATCTGGCCTACAAATCAGTCTCCCACAAGGGGGCGATGATTGCTGGGTGCAATCCCAGTTGAGTAATCTTCATGCCATTTGCGAATTTTGGCCGACTCGTTTCGAATGACGTCAGGGGACATTTAACGTCTACTGCGAAGCAGACGACGGGGAGTGTTGTTGTTAAATATACGACACATTGCAATAATAACAATAACCAGGGCGGGCCCTGGTTATTGTTATTATCATACGACCACTGGATCCTCCGCCCCAAGTGTTGTGCATGGCCCATCCATGCTGCCCGTGTACGGCCAGGGACGGGCCCGGCCACACCACCCCCTCGTGCGCCCTGCGGACCCTCGCCTCCCACAGCACTCGCAACCACCGTCTGTACGTATGTATGTTACATGTATGTTGTATGTACCTATGTTGGACTTCTTTCGCACCGTACGTAGCCAACCGTGCTCATGGGAGGTGCGGGGTCGAATGACAAGAAGCTAAACACAAAACGCAGTTCTAAAGAAACGAGTTTGTCAATCTCGATGACGATGATTTTAAAGTTCATTGCTCCCTGTGGCTTCCTAATATCGGAAGAGCGTTCCAGACGGCTGCAGAAGCGCATCCCAAAGCGCGCGACGCGGTGCCCGTCTTTGTACAACTCGACGTGGGGGGGGGGGGGGCTGTGTTTGTCGTGGTGGCTGATACCAGAACCAGCCGAGCCCCCCACATCATCACCAACTCGCGCTGATTGCCAAATGGTGACGTGTGGCCCAACATCCCCCACGAGCCACGAGGCCTTCGCCCAGCAGTGGACTGACAAAGGTCCGTAAATTATAAATAATAACTTATAAAGATTCAGCAATTAATCAATTAAATTGATTACTTCGCTCTTTGCAGGTGAATAATGCATGTGAGGATCAATTATTTATGATATGTCAAGAATAAATTCAAAGTGCTGTGCACACGCTCATGTTAAATGAGGACCAAGAGGGTGTAACAAAGCCGTGCAGACGAAGCAAAGAAAGTGAGAAACAATACTAACACAAACAGCACTAACGAGACAGTAACACAAACAGCACTAACGAGACAGTAACACAAACAGCACTAACGAGACAGTAACACAAACAGCACTAACGAGACAGTAACACAAACAGCACTAACGAGACAGTAACACAAACAGCACTAACGAGACAGTAACACAAACAGCACTAACGAGACAGTAACACAAACAGCACTAACGAGACAGTAACACAAACAGCACTAACGAGACAGTAACACAAACAGCACTAACGAGGACACGTGAGAGAGGGAGGTCACGTGAGAGAGAGGTCACGTGAGAGAGAGGACACGTGAGGGAGGGAGGTCACGTGAGAGGGGGAGGACACGTGAGAGGGGGAGGACACGTGAGAGAGGGAGGACACGTGAGAGAGGGAGGACACGTGAGAGAGGGAGGTCACGTGAGGGAGGTGGAGGTCACGTGAGGTAGGTGGAGGTCACGTGAGGGAGGCCACGTGCACCCCTTCAGAGGGACTGCCGAGCTCGGGGCGGTGGTACAGCCCTTAGCGAGCTGCACTCTGAACTTGTAGATTTAAAGCTTTCGTGACTGCAAGGATCCATACTCTTTGGTTCTGTTCGGTAAAGTCACGTAGGTAAAAAATAAAACAACAAAAATCACGACGTTTCGGCCTTGTTTTATTTTTTACCTACGTGACTTTACCGAATAAAACCAAAGAGTATGCACTCTGAACCCCAACATTTCCGGCCAGGGATGACATCAGTGGCGATATCAACACCAGGGTTTTCCCCTCTGCCACCTCTGCCCCTCACCAACGCGCACTGACCAACGTGCTGGTCAATAAAACCCCGTGACTGGCATGGCACGGGGCGGTCTTCGTCCATTGATGTCGTAGACACGCTGCGTCACAGCTCGGCACGGCGTCATCAGAAGAGACGTCTCCGTGTGATGCGCGTGCTGCCGGAAGCGTCGCGTGGCCTCCTCGCACGCGGATGATCGTCGATGACATTTTTTGTCGATCGCGGGAGGAGTGGGGGGTGGGGCTGCACCGCCTCTTCCCGAGCCCCCTGAGATCAGGTCGCCTGCGCGTTTCACCCTCGCGCACAGCACCACTGCGCGTGGTAAACACAGGCGCGCAGAGACAAAGCTCACCCGTATAGCCTCGAACGGTCTGTTGGGTCGAGTGCCGTTTACGAGCACGGTACGTCTGCTTAAAAATGCTGTTACACAAAGAGACTGACAGGGACACGACGAGGCACAGACTTGTGGAGACAGACAGAGATAGGGACACAAAGGGACGGACACACAGACACAGGGCGACACAGACGCACAGATCCTGGGAGCTCTGTGCACGCACACACGCTCGCACGCGTAGCTGCCCCGCACCGCCCACCACTGCCCGCGGTTTTTTTTTGCGGCGTCTCTCGGCTGACGGCTTCGTCGCTGGTCGACGGCGCCGCACGACGTCACACCGCCGGGGGTCAGGGCCGCGAGTTGAACTCGTGAAAACCGCTCTGCGCGAGCGGCGTCTTCCCGTCAAGTCGTCACGTGCCATGCGCTACGCTCGACCGCCCGCCTGCCGCCCGACCCATTAGCCCCGCGAGCGTCTCCACGCCGCCGCGGCCGCTGCCGTCGATAGTGCGACGAACGACGCCCGCGTCTCGCTCGTTACGAGATGCGCGGCGTGGCAATTGGCTCTCACCTGCTTTGAATACAGGACACCTACTTGTCTCCTTCCCAGCCTAACCACGTGCCTACGCATCTAAGGGCCCACACAGCCTTCCGCTCTAAACACGAACTCAATGACCGCCGCTGCATGCTGGCAGACGAGCCGAGCCAGGGGTTCTGCTGTTTCGCTTCGCCAGCCATCGCCCGCTGCCCTTTGACGGGAGACTGCACGACGAGTGATGATGCCCAGCCGCGAGCCAGCGCTTTGAACGCACGGGTTGGTGAATCGCGAAGGGATTTTTGAAATTCCTCAATCAGCTGAGGTGTGGAGTTGCCAGGAGATGTGAGTGCAGCAAGTGGTTCTGGTACTCGTTCGAGTAGAACTCTGAGTGCGAGTTACATCTCCTTGTGTGCGCGGACTTCTCTCGGCTCTCTCACAAAAGCAAACCACTCCTTACGTTGGAAATGGAAAGCATCGAAATGCAGGACCTGCCTGAAATAATTCTGTGGGCTCCGTGAGGCTTTACTCCATGAAGGAGCTTCGCGGCATAAATGACTTAGTTCGTTAAAAATCGTCACTGAGCCAGAAATACTCCCAGCGCTTCTGGGACATTCTACAATGGGCTAATGCTGATGGGCCTCCACGCCACCCTCGAGGTTGTTGGCATTCAGCGCTCCATAGATTATCGATTCATCCCGCATCTATTTGGGGCAGTGACACGGTCCAGCAGTAGCGCGTTAGCTGCTTGTTGCAGACATTCGCTGTGAACTCCGGCAGGCCGCCCTGGTTATTACTGGGGGGGGGGGGGGGTATTAACCATATAACTGCATGCCTCCTGTGACGTCATTCGAGACGAGTAACCCATCGTGTGCTAGCGGAATGGTCCAAATTTGCCATTTGGTAAAAATTATGCGAGTGACTTAAACGGGGTTGACACAGCAGCAGCATCATATCATCGCCCCTTGCTGTGAAACTCCTGCACACTGTGTGTGTGTCTGAACCATCGTGCCTGCATGATGGCTTTGTGCTACAAGAATGTCACGAATACCAAATGAAAATTATTTATGATTATTACCCGAAACATTTCAGAAATAAAGCTCCCCTAGGGGCGGTTGATCTGCGAGGCTACGGCAGCAGTCACTGAGACGCCCACGGTCGCGGGTTTTGTGGGCGAGAGAGGGCAGCTTCTGAAGTGAAAAACGCCGCCGGCAATCAAAATGAATGCTGGCGGGGCATGGGATCGGGCGGCGCGTCGTCTCCGAAATGTGGCCAGGTCAGGGATGGGGTTTGGATGACGGCAGCGCACAGATCTCGGAGGAGCTGTTTCTCATTCTGTGGTGCTGGCCAACGCCCAAGTGTTGGGGGGGAGGGGTCTAAACGAACGGGGTTTTGTGACACTTCGTTGCTAGTCACGCACGAGCCCAAATCGCAAACAAAAACCCACGAGTCATTCGTAAATTACAGTGGCATAAAGAATTACCAACAATGAACTGGCACATTTTAAGGCGAGGTGCCTCCTTTTTCTTTGGTTGTGAAGAAGGCCCCTTGCCCGAATGCGTGGAGTTCTTGTCCGAGATTTCAGAGCGCGGGACAGTAGCGTCGAGAGAAACTCGAGAGAGGAATTCAATTCGCGGCTTTTGGCCGAGCTGCGTAACAAACGGCCCAAATCCCGGGCGCGCGAGCGTGAAAGCGACGTGGCCTGGGCAATCAGCATCGTTAGGGAACACCGGGAAAGCGATGAAACGCAAAATCCACATATTTCACGCGACATAATTTAAACCAAGCGCAGAGCGGAAAGCGCCGTTCGGGGCAGCCCAGTGTCATAAACCATGCACACGTCCACAGCCGCACCAGCCAACTGAACTCTTCTTGGGTTTGTCCATTACCCAACAGCTACTATTCGGTAGCTATTCATACGGCGGTTTAATAACTTGTCATCAAAAGAGATCAATTCATTTATTAACTCTCATGAGCCCCCATGGTGTTTAATGCAGTCTCCAATCCTAATTAACTCCATCTCTCTGGCCTCTCTATGTGCTATTTAGAAGGCCTGTTGCCCGAACCCGCACCTCTTATTTGTGTTGTCCTTATTATTGAGGTCACGGTGTTCTTGACGAGTGCTGAGTTGGCGTTGTTGGCTGTGCTGGTGCACCACTGACCGAAAGGGAGCCCTGGCCGCCCGTGACGACCCCCGGCTGTAACAGTGTCTGAATCTCCTCATTCCTTACCTCGTCTACATTTTAAACCGCATTTGCTTTTGTTTCTCATTGTTTTGACTTCACTTTGTTTCCATAATATAGTTTGTAAATGTTGTGGATTTGCTCTCCAACACACGGGTGTGCTGTACTAGTAACGAATTGATATGTTCACGCGACTAACCTTACTAATTGGTTGTGTCGGGTTGTGGCGGGTTTAACGACACATTTATATTTACGCGATCTAACCCACCAAAAAAAACTAAATTATGGATGATATTGGTCTTGAAAGCCTACGTGTTAAACTTATTTCGTGTGTATTTGCTTATTTATATATCTGAGTTGTGACTAGAATGGTTTATTTACTTTGATGTTCTATTTATTTTGCTTTGCTGTAGAGCTCATGTGACCCAGGTCTCCCTCGGTGTGAATGGCTCTCAGCAGGGCATATACAGAGGCCTTCCTCCCTCTGCTCACAGGCCCGGCCATCCGCCCCTCCTCATTTCATCTGAAGGTCAGTGGTGCGCCTAAGCGTTCTCTTTAAGATGTAATTAACATCCAACAAATAAATATATTCGATACTAAAATACAAGACGCAGAACATGCCAACCAAGCAAACACAAACGGTGCAGTCAAGAATGTATGAAGCTCAAGAAAGCCAAGATGGAATGTGTTGGGGAGATTGAGTCCTTCATCCAGCAGTGGATAGCAAACGGCTCATCATAATTACAATTATTTTATTATTATTATTTTTAAATATTACTCCTGGAAATTTCCTTGAGGTGGAACCTCTTCATTTGCAAGGGTGCCCAGAGTGACCATGCAATTGTAGCCATCGTGCGGACGGACCTGTCCCCTTTCCTGTCCATGTGGATGTGGAATTGCCACTGTTGGCTCAGGGCCACCAATGGAGAAGAATGCCATGCCGAGCTGCTTTGAGCGAGGGGCACTGTTGCTCTGTTGGAACGCGACCTTTTACATCGCCGTGAGCACTGCTGGAAATTTGTCAGAAACTGTCCCTGCTGAAAGACATCCTTGGGAATCAGTAAAGTTTTCTTGGATAAATAAAGGGCATGATGATGATGATGATTATTATTATGGGTTTAGACATGGCGAGCATCAGCCATGCGACATGGACAATCACGACAACACAGAGGCGTGTGTATGGCAATCTGGCCCAACTCAAAACTCACTGAAAAACAAATTTCAGGGTTCCGGTTTGCGATTCCATTCAATAATCGATTATTTGTCTTGGTCTGTTTTTTACCGTCTCATTTGCATTGCTTTTATATGTTCTGTATTATTTGTACATATAATGGTTTGCGTCATTTGCCTAAATCAGCATATCAATTCCGTATATTTTGAATAGGTCATAAATAACCGGTTTTTGCACGCTCGATTCGCTACGTGTATCACGAGCGTGAGAATCTAATCCAGGCAGTGAACCGATGCGTATCGGCTCACCATTGCCCATCCTGGCCATAGTCACACTTCGTGCGACGGGATTGCCAAACAAACGCGAGAGAGACAAAAACCCCCACTACAACGAGGCATCGGCACAGCCACCAACACCAACTAACGATCGCATCAGAGGCGTCCCAGGCAGGGGGCTGATTGCGTTCCCATTCGGAATCGATCGACCAAGCGACACACTTAGGCGCGGGGCTCTCCGATCGCCGCGTCGCGGTCCCGGTTAGAAACCCGCACCACCTCCTTCAGTAGCCCCTCCAAGCTAGCCCGCCACGAGGGGTAATTACATGGTAATTGGAGGTGAGCCTTGTGCGTGACTGTGGCGTTTTGTCCGTCAGTCTAAACTGAAATGCCGCGGACCGATTCGACAAAGCGAGGAGGCGAGAGGAGCCGCCTCCTCGTTACCGGCGCTGCGCTAATGCTGGCGAGCGGGCGGCGCGCACGGAGGGCGCAATGAGCACTGTGGGGGGGGGGGGGGGGGACACGGGGGGCGGGGGTGGTGGGGGTGGTGGGGGGTGGTGGGGGGTGGTGCTGTCGTTTTCAATTGTTGTTTACGAAGCCTCACGTGAGTGACATGTGCACAACAAAATGCCATGTGCTTCCTGATAGAGTTCAGTGGTTGTTCTGTATCCCTACCAGCCCCTACCCCTACCAGCCCCTACCCCTACCAGCCCCTACCCCTGTGTACCCCTACAGCCCAACCCCAGTCTGTGTACCCCTACCCCTGTGTACCCCTACAGCCCTACCCCAGTCTGTGTACCCCTACCAGCCGCTACCCCAGTCTGTGTACCCCTACCAGCCGCTACCCCAGTCTGTGTACCCCTACCCCTGTGTACCCCTACAGCCCTACCCCAGTCTGTGTACCCCTACCCCTGTGTACCCCCAACCCCTGTGTACCCCTACAGCCCCACCCCAGTCTGTGTACCCCTACCAGCCGCTACCCCAGTCTGTGTACCCCTACCCCTGTGTACCCCTACCAGCCCTACCCCAGTCTGTGTACCCCTACCCCAGTCTGTGTACTCCTACCCCAGTCTGTGTACCCCTACCCCTGTGTACCCCTACAGCCCTACTCCTGTGTCACTGTTCTGCCAGCATTGACGTGAGCAAGAAATTGCAGGTCTGCGCCAACACCTTTCCGATTCAAAGGAACGTTATACAAATCAACAGGACAGAGAGACATCTATGAGTCCTTCTGAAAAAACAACTATCTTACTCGTTAACAGGCTAAATAAATATATACGTCCTTTACATTGCGCAGAATGAATGCACAATCGTCCCTCGGCCCTATCATAGGAATGTGGAAAGTCCTTCCACTTGCTTTGCGGGAGGGACTTTGAAATGACGACTCAGTGCTCGTTCGAGCCGGAAATCACTCGGGTTGGAACTGCGCTTGGGATGCACCGACGACGATCACAGCACAAGCCACGAGGTCCCGCTCTGGACGGCGCCGTGCTGCGCCCCCAAAACCCCAGCGCGAGTAAAAGGCCCGGAAAGACAAACAATTTCTGTCTACGTAAAAATAGCAAATTGCACGAACAATTCGAATAACAAATACGTGGAAATGTTTTGATTTGGAAGAGGTTGAGTCTTTTCATTTACTTATTGACGGAAACCCAGTCACTGAAACGACACAAACTACGCACGGGGAGGAGAGGATGTTGACGGACACCCATGTCACTTGGCGTGCTCGTCGCACAGGTCCCCCTGTGTCTTTGTCATGCTTCTATTACTCTATTTGTACCTATCACTCTTTAACTCTATTTGTAACTATATTTGTAATTATAACTCTATTTGTAACTTGCTGTGATCAGTCTCAACATAATCTGCTCGAGCCGACTCACGCTACAGGGAATTTATCATTCAACAGTGGTTCATTTTCAATATTTTCGGTTTCACTTATTTTTGTTCTCAATTCATTGCTCTATTTAATTTGTTTTGTTGTCGTAATTTTGGTTGACCCAGGTCAACCTGTCAGATGAGACGCCTGCCGCGGTCTCTGGGGCTCTCTCCCGGACACGAGAAACAAGCTCGACTCGAGCGCAGCCATCTCCGTGGAGAGCCGGGTCGAGGCACGGGCTGAGAAGAGAAGTCCGGGGCGCATCGTCGCCCGGCGGGGACGAGGAGCGGACGGGGGAGGGGCGAGTCGCGGTCGGTGTTGGGAATGCGCGGCGGGGGGGGGGGGGGGGGGCCACGAGCCCCCGGCTTGCGAACGCCGTCACCCCCCCCCCCCCCCCGTGTTTCTCACGCGCGAGCCGCCTCCGCCACCGCGAGCCGGGGGGCTCCTCTTGGGTCCGGAGCGGCGCGTGGCACGTGGCACGTGGCTCGCGTCCCGCGGGGCTCAGCGGTGAGCCCCGCGGGACGTCGTCCTTTGCCTCGCAGAACGTAGCGGCACAGGCGCAGCCCTGCAACGACGCGTCGTTGTCTCCTGATTACGAGTAAGATACACTGCGCTTTTATTGAATGGTGCGTGTTTAACTGTAATTCGAATCAGTAAAGGCGCAGCCCTGCAGTTGCTCGCTACAGTGAATGTCTGGTGACCCTCGGGTAGGGTATTTGGCCTGCTCTTCCACGCTCGCCACGCGTCTTGGGCGACCCACTCTCTACCCCACCACATCGACGCACTGTGGTGTTCACCGTTATGCCGCTGGGTGGGCAGAGGCACCACGATGTGGGGAAGTCAACAGCAGTCGTCCTATGCTTAGACTCGCCATCAGAAGATAGAATTCCCATGACTCGCTCCGCAGGGCTGTCAACAGATGAGCACCGCAGCAATGCTCAATTGAGCAGCAGGAAATCACTGTGACTTGACTTCGACTGCTGCTGCTGCTCCTGATGATCACATTGTATAGCAATAATATAAATTTAAACTATTAAAACCGCTCCATAGACTCACAACAATTGGCTCACAAGCCCCCTGGAGACAATAGGACGCTGCACCGTTGTACAATAAACACGAATCGATTCTTCAATCGAACGATGGCCCGGAATCGTGACAAGTTACCTAAAATGTAGTTGGGGGGGGGGGGGATAATTGTTACAGACCGAACGATGATGACGAGGACGATGGTGGTGACATCGATAGCGATGCTAACGCTAATGACGTTCGTGATGTCCCAGTTATCATGGTGTCCGGCAGAAGACACCTTCAAGGTTACTGCATCACGCGCTTTCGAGGAGTGCTTCTGCGGCCGTCTGGAACGGCTTTTTTGTGTTTAATGCATTGTCCTTCCCTCGCACCTCCAATTTGCACGGTTGGCTACGTACGGTGCGAAAGAAGTTCAACGTACACATATACAGGAGAATTCAGACGAAACAGTGGTCACGCCTTGGGGGTCCTTGCCACTCGATTCGTTTCCGCATTGGGCCGGCACCACAACCTGGCTACGTGGGTCCAAGCAAACAGCGCGTTTGTAATGCTGCTTTTGCTCAACTTTGTACACTTACACAAGGAATACGAAGTGCGATGGACTCGCTGCACACAACGGGCGAATGGTGCCCAGATGGGGAATGTCGCCTTGGGCGAGAGCGCCCGACCCTGTGAGATGTTTCCGGTTCCTCTGAGAGGTGTTCACTCGAGCGGTCCCCACGATCAGCGAACAACCAAACCGACCTCTCCTGTCGGGATCGCGGACACCCACGCTGCTGTGGGGTCCTCCGAGCTCCACGTGATCCGGCACTTGCTCATTGCTCGCTCGTCGGTGATCAGTCACCTCCTTATCACTCTTCTATCGCAACTCGCATGGCTACTGTTCCCTGGGCTTCATATGTTGATTCCTCCACCCGTGTTGCAGACTCGGTCTACCAAACACAGACTGTTCGTCTCATCCACCACACCGTGTTCAACTACCACCACACTGAAGGTCACAACACACTCACTCACCACTCCCTTCCTCATACACTCACACACCACTGCCTTACTATACACTCACTCACCACACTGCAGGTCACAACACACTCACCCACCACTCCCTTCCTCATACACTCACACACCACTGCCTTACTATACACTCACCACACTTCAGGTCACAACACTTCTCTTTCTGCATCTTCCCTCGCAATTACAAAGTGGAGCAGTCCACATTGTGGAGCATTCCACTTTGTAATTCCCTCCCACTGTCTCCTTGCCCAGCTCCTTATGATAACCTTGCGCAATTCACGACACGTATTATTACATCTTGTTTAGTCCTTCAGTTGTGCTGCTTGTTGCTGGCCACTGTGTTTTAGGCATGTTAGCATACTATATTAATTTTTTAAAGTTTTGTTGGCTGGACTGTCGCGTCCGGAAGGAGGGACGAACGAACGGTCACCTTGACAGTTAAACACAAAGTCAAAACAAACAAAATCGCACGGCGCAATGAGGCCGACACGGAACCGAAACAATCTGCGCCAAACTTCCCCCAGAACCGAGATCGAAATCAAGGTGAGCCACGAGGCCCCGGTGCCTCCACGGACCAATGGGCCAATCACGCGACGGGCATTGTTGACCGAGCCCCTCTCGTGAGCCAATCAGACGACGCGCTGGGAGGCTAACGACCCCTCATCGGGTCCGCATCACGGCCAGGCACCTCCACTCGGCCCGTCGCGATCTGCCACAAGCGACGACGATGACGGCCATCGCGCGATCGGTACTTTCTGTGCCGATGCATTTCCCTTGGCTCGCACACGCGCGAGCCGCCTGCCGAGAAGACTCTTCTCACTCACATTTCGCTTCGATTAAAAAAGAAATTGCAATGGTTTGTTTTCTCGAAAATTACGAACCTTTAGTACGTGATTCCATCCACAGAGCTGTCCCTGCCGACCTCTCAGCTCACTCCGCTGCCCTCAACAGCAAACGGGGCGCTCTGTTAAAGCCTCCCAGTCACATTGATTCGGTGGGAGGTTGCTTGCTCGACGCTGCTGCTGCTGCTGCTGCAAGATGGAACTCCCTCTGCCGTCCGTGCTGTCGGCTCCCTGCCCCTGCTAGTCCAGGCTCCAGGCCTACCACTTATCCTCTGCCGATGATTCACTGCCTCCTTCCTATCAATGAAGTTCCTTAAATAAGAATAATAACCGCCACAATCAATCGCAGCACCTTCGTTGATCCACTGCTGGATTATATAGCACTCTAGTGATGTCACAGTATACAGAGCTGGCTACACAATACAATGTGGAATAAAATAGCAGCTGAACGCGACCACAGGTGTACAGATACAGTCAGACTATTTGCTTTAGAGAGAGAGAGAAGGCAGATGGTCACAGGCAGGGGAGAGAGAGGAAGGTCTTGAGCCTAGACTCTAACAGGAACCCGACAGCACGGACGGCAGGGGAGGGTGTCCCGGGAGAGATCAACACCGCCACGTCGCCAAACGAACGTTGGACATCCCGACTCGGGCGAACACACGAAACAAATCTCCAGATACGGTAATAATAATGATTACCAAATCCTCCAGCTAATAAAACCGTACCTTTTACCCTGCATTGTAAAGACGGGAGTGCGGGAGTGCGTCGTGTAATCCGGTAGAGGCGCGTGCGTGTCACCACGCTCGCACAATCTCTGTCCACACGGGGCTCGCGGTTGGCGGGTGCGGAGAAGGCGCGACGTGGATTTTGTGTTCGCCTCTGGCGACCTCGGCTCCGCCGCGCCACTCACCTGCCGAGTTGGCCACGGCGCCAAGGGACACGCCGCTGAGGTTGCCACCCAGCTGGAAGGCCACAGCCGCCCCGGCCACACTGCACGCGTCGCACGGCAGCGCACCACGGGGCAAGGGGGCGGATGGCGAGGTCAAGGAGAGGTCAAAGCGAGGTCAGGGCGAGGTCAAAGTGAGGTGAAGGCGAAGTCAAAGTGAGGTCAAGGCGAGGTCAAAGCGAGGTCAGGGCGAGATCAGGGCGAGGTCAAAGCAAGGTCAGGGCGAGGTCAAGGCGAGGTTAAGCCAGCAGTAGTTTGGAGGAAAGGGAACACGGGATCCAGCGCCAGGTCACACGTTCCCCGCCCGTTCCCGATTAGCACGGTTGGCTATGTGCAATGCGAAATAGTTAAACATACATACAACATACATACATGCATGCAACATACATACATGCATTCAACATACATACAAACGTTCCACTTTTTTTTCCTTTTCCGCTTGTCTTTTCCGCTTGTCAGAACCTGTCCAATACCCCCCATAAAGCCTGCACAGGCTGTTAGCGAGCACCTATTGTTAAGGCCGGAATGAGACACAAGGGGCGGTGTGGCCAACATCAATCCCGGCCGTCTTTGTCTCTCCAGTGGCGATGTTTGCACATCGCACCAGGTACTCATTTGAGGCTGAGTCGACCTAGCCGATGCCCAGGGCCGGTTCAGATAATCGTCACTGGTGTTGGCCATGAGCGGGAATCGAACTGGGGTCGCCAGGTTCCAAGCGCAGTGCAGTAACTGCTACACTACCGCTCCCCTTATGGGTCACGCACGTACACACGCACGTACACTCGAAAACACACGCACGGACACACACACGTACACACGGAAACACAAGATTCACATCTTAATTTGAATCGTCCCTCAAGACATGTTTAGCAATCATCAGGCACACAGCGTGTCGCGACTCAATTTGCATTTCACCAGAGGAGATTAGTAAGAAGATTAGTAAGAAGATTAGTAAGCATGAATTATGTATGTCACGGTGGGTCGCGAACTAGGGGGCTTCGCAAACCCCAGGCTGCAGACAGACCGCCGAACGGAATCACCCCCAGCCATCATCCCCCTTCCCCCCGTGTGGGATTCGAACTCGAAGCCACAACCTTGCGAGCTGAATTCCGAAGCACACCGCTTACCAAAGCTGGATAGGCTTTGGTAAAAAAAAAAAATCATCGTCGTTACATTTCCTGAGTGCCTTTTACAAATTAACATTGAGGTCCATTGCACACAAGCCAACCAGGGAGAATGGCTCATTGAACAAGTATGACGCTCTCAATGTGCCTTGAAGGCTGCGACAGTGAAAATTTTCATAATTCGCTCTGGAGGCGGGGATCTTCCAAAGTTTATGCGCCACTCTGTTCTATTATTACTACAACTACCCGCAGTGTGTGCTTTAACGGAGATTATGGCATCATTAAAACTGTTAAGAAAAGTGAATGGGCTTGGACACGGCACGTGGCACCGCAAGGGATGATGGTTGAGAGCAATGACGGGGTGGCAGCCAGGCGAT